TAAATCTTGACAATTTCTCCTTTATGAGCTATGTGGGCAAAAATATGAAATGTATGTTTTATATTCACATGCTCTCCAACAGAGATGAATGCATTTCTAAATACTTCTGTGGTTGCACACTACATTTGATTATTTTCTTCTGATTGTATCAAAGAGATTTTTAAAACCAAATATCTGTTGAGAGTCAAGGGGGCTGATTAAATCACTTACTTGCTTTTATTCCTGCATGTTGTTTTTGTGTCTTCTTGGAATCTGCCATTCCTTTTTCTTTGAGAATGGTAACTGAAATACTGCAGGCGCTGTATTAATAGTATTGGAGGGGTTTTGGTAGTTTGGTTTGGTTGGTTTGTTGTGGCTTTTGAGAAATCATACATCATTAGTTCCTGAAGTCTCCCCCATGGAGCTGAGATTGTTGTTTGTAGGCAGCACTTACAGGCTTTAAACTAATTTTGAGATACTTTTTAACCTTTAAAAATAGGTGAAAGTGACTGAGGTTAATAGCTGAGAAGTCCTGGCTTCCAATGTTAATGTCAGGGGCTTTTTAGGTGCTTTATCTTCCACTATTCATTTCTGATCACAATTTGTGTGTCTCATACACATACCCATGCTTGACACACGCAGCTCCTGAGTTGCTCTTACAAAGGATTTAAGAAAGGTCAATTTCTTTGCCTGTGTTACCTCAACATTTACCTAATATATTAGTATTTTAGTTTTTAGTAGAATATTGTCATTAAAAGTTCTCATCTCCAGCCTTGAGGGTCTTAGCTCACTGACAGAAGTACAGGAGTCTTGTCCTTGTCTTTGCTATTGCTATACTGTGGAGATTTTCTAAAATTATTTTTAATTTGTACAACTTTACAAATCCACATTTGTAAAGTCAGCATTAAAGCCACATCTAAGAATAAAGAATGACTGCATCAATCTTTATTTATTAAAGGATTTTGAAAGGTTGTCTCATGAAAAGCAATTAGTAAGTGTCAGCAGTTGCATGAGGATTAACTATAGCCCTAGAAGTACACGTTTAAGTGGTAAAGTTCATTTGCTGATCTCAACTGCTGGGATGTATTTCAGAAGAATTATCTTTGCATGGTCCATATGTGTGTGTGCACATTTTAACAGGATGTCAGTTTTCATCTGTCCCCTACCTCAGAGCTGCTGTGGTCAAATGCTGTGTCTTGCATTGCTCCATGAAACACCACCTTCCTTTCTCAGGTTTGAGAGTGTAAAGCTGTAGTATTTCTAGCTAAATGTCTGCTGAGCTGGAATATCACAAAGCATCAGTTACTGAGATTTCAGTAAGTACCGAGCTGTACTATGTTGGGGGAAGGGAAGATGTGGAAGTAGTTTTCTATGGCACACAATGGAGTAATTTTCTAAACTATTCTCAGAGGTGTTTTAGGCTGTAAAGGTTGTATTCAGGTGGGTATTTTCTCTTTTCATAAGAGTATTAAAGGTGGAGGAGGAATTAAGGTTCTGCACTCTTGCAGTGTCCTTGGGTCAGCTGTCTGATTTCTGCACATTGACTTAGTTTAGGGAAGTCAAATATCCTTCAGAGAATCCTAATACCTATTTTACTCAGGGTTTTTTTTAAGTTTTAATGGTTAAATGCTACATGAGAGCCTTGGCTGAATAGTTGGGATCCCTTTCAGAAAACATCATGTTAGGTGCCAAGACCAGACATACTTCAACTGCAAACTTGAGTATAGTAACAGCTCAAATACAGGTTAAATGCTCTTTGTATGTGATATTTTAGGTACATATCTTTCTTAAAATATTTTAAAGCTACTCTAATTGCTCCCATATTTATAGAAAGAACAATGTCGTTCACAGTAAGCTGTTTACATGCATGCTTTCTTTGGGGAAAACTACTGTAATTAGAGTAGTGATTTATTTTATGTTTAAAGTGAGTGGGAGCTACTGCAGTGGGAAGTTGAGGACGAGGTTGGGCTGAGGGCTAAATAGGTCTGTGGTGTTCACCAGCCCTGGAAGACACTATATACACCCTGTCATCTCTTAGTGAGTTCTTTTTCTGTTTGGTTGTCCCTGATGCAGCCACCGACAGATGTGGTGTGGAGGAGCCAAGTCCCCTTCGCTGGTCAGTGGTGTTTGCATTCCTGACCTTTCCTTTTACACCGCTGATTTCCCTCCGAGTCAGCTGCTGGAGGAACAGCCAGCAGAGATCCACACCTCTGGAATATGATAAAAGTAATCTGCCACACAAAGTGTAAAGATTAGCAGGTCTAAGCTGAGACATTGTTTCCTTAGTGCAAAGGTGTTACAGCTTGTTTTAAGGCATGGATGGAAGTTTGGGATTTATTGTGATACTTTTATATCTGGGTATTGTTTGCTTTTCTAAAATAAAATTGAAAAGTGGTCTTGTGCTCCTCTTAGACATCAAGCCTGTTGCTACATTAGAACCTTTGATATCCATTGTAGATTAAATTCTTGTATAGTATTACTGCCTTCTTGTAGGGAATGTGGCTGGGCATTTATTTTTTTTTTTAATTTATTTAATTTTTTTTTACTCCTCACTTAAAAACTGTATATAATACCCTAAAATAGGTCTGGCTGTAATATTTTGAAGGGAATTTAATTGCCTTTATATACCAAATACCTCTGTAATACCCCACAGTATGAAAGATTTTGGGACCTACTAATGGATTTGTAGTAGTTCTTTTTGGTAGCCTGTATCATCTGTAAAAATAGCAATCTCAAATTAATTTTGTAGTGAATTCTTTGTATGATGGTTTAAAACTGCAGAAGATAAATGTTTTCCTTATAGGCCAGACCAATCATCTGAACCCATATTTTGGGTCTTTATATGGAAACCCATTGAAAATGGGAGTGATGCTCCTCCACTTAGCTCAGTTGAACTGTCTTGCTCTAATTTAGTATAATACTCAAATAACTGTCCTACATGCAGCCTTCAGTGGGTTTTCAGAAGTTACACACCTGGTGACCTTTGGAAATATTTCATGTTATGTTCTTTCTTGTGAACAAAGAAACAGCAAATGGCATTCCCAATGTTACCCCCCTCCTAAGAAGGTATCATTCAGAACTTTTCTTTCATGACTCTCCAACTCTGACAAGAAATATTAGAACTCGTGTGTTGTGGTTTGTTAAAAAATGTAAATTTCTGTTCAAAATTGTTTGTCAGTCTCTCAGAAAATTAGAAGTAATTAAATAGAAAGTTCTACAGATTTGTGCCATTTCTGTACCCTCTCATCTCAAGATGGTGTGAGAAGCAGACAATTGTAATAACTTGCTGCTACTCCTTTCCAGCTAATTTGATCTTGTTCCTTAATTCTGACAGATTGTTTTTAATTTTCCCATCTGTTCCATAAAAATCTCAAGTGATTGACTCCTAGGAAAAAATAATGTCTAATAGCTGAGCCATTTTTAATGAGTTGGTATGAGTTATTTAATGAGACGTGCTGAAGAAGGCAAGCCAAAGGGAAGATTGGGCCTGGGGTGGTGGATGTAAAGAAAGGTAAAGGGCAACCATCTGCTTCAGGAAACTTCCACTCTTCATCAGCAGCTTTAGGCTGCTGCTCTCTCCAGTTTCAGGCAGTGCCCGTGGACAAAACAACAAAGGTTCAGTAGCAGTAATTCCTTTTCCCCTTTTATTTAGAGCAGTGTCTGCCCTCAGACAGTACTGCTTTGGGGAGAGGAACAGTCATGAAAAGAAAGAAAAGTCAAAGGATAAAAGAATAATATTTAAGTAACCTTAAAAGTATTATGGCTTGTGGTTTAACTTCATTTCTTCCAGCAATCTACACAAACTCCCAGATATTCCAGAAAGAACCCTAGTGCCAGTAAACAGAGTGAATGTTCTCCTCTGGCCTCTCTGAAGGCTAAAACCTTTGCTTTAAAATTGCCTGGAAATGGCATCTCCCGGGGCAGGAAGCCATCAATATGCAAGTCTTTGAGAATAGCAAGCATGAATATAAATACTAACATCTGGACTTCTCCCTTCTGTTTTGGTTTTTATATATTATTATAATAAACATTAACATTATTTTTAATAATCATCAGATAGCATTTTCTTTGGCAGCTTAAGACTTCATTATTAAATCAAATAGTGAATATAAATATACAGCTCTTTTAAGAGGAAAGTTGAAAGTTTGACTCAGCCCTGCAAATATGCCATTGTGAGTCTAATCTATTGTAGAATTCATAGAATAATGAATTAACGTCTCGATTGCATACAGTGAGGCAGAACAAATGAGAGAATGCTACCATGGTAATGAGCAAAATACACACTTGTTTTTTCAGGTGGCAATCAGCTACCAACTAAGGAGAAAAACTTTTGTCTGCATTTTCTTAAACTAGTAAAACCTGAGAGTGCACTAGGTAAGCAGAGAGCATCAGTACCCTACACATCCAGAGCATGTCCAAATACTCAGCCTGTCAGGTGTGCCCATGACACATATTGCAAGCAGCCTAAGAACCACTGAATGTAGCAGTTGAAACTACTGGTTTAAATTAGTACAGAATTGCACTTGGATGGTGTCTGTTTTGAAACCTGAGCTCAGCAAGTAGCTACAGATAGGAGATGCTCTGTGCTTATACAGAAGTCACTGGCTCTGAATGAGACTAGACTGTGCCTGCAGTTTAGACTATCCTAATTTGAGACTGATAAAGGGGAAAAAATATTTTTATTTGTAAGGATTTTTTGCTTTCTAGTACCAGTGTTCTTAGACTGGAAGAGAGAGTGGTGGTGGTATTCCTGTTGGGAAGAAGGAATTGGTTGGTGCTTATTTTGCATGCCAGGAGACAAAAGGGACCTAATTTTGAGCAAAAAGGGCTTTGGGAACGTGACCTATTATCTATCCCTCTAGATGGACTTTGGACAAAGACCTTGTTGTGTTGCAGCTTTAGTAATAAATCTTACTTGTATTTATGTAGTTGAAATTAAATTCACAAGATGTAAGTTTAATAGTTCTGCATTAATTCTTCATAAAGCATTGATCTTTTGGTTTTTTTATCTTCCTTCTCAGTGTGTCAATCCTGATCTTTAATACTTCTCGGCAGTGCTTTGTTGTGGTGAAGCAGTTCCGCCCAGGTAATCCTCTTTTTTAGATTTACTTTTGCTTTCTAGTGAAGCAAGCTTTTAAGGGTTTAGCAGTTAAAAGTTGGTGCATCTGTGGTGATAAAATCTTTGTTCTATATTCTGTTTCTTTGTATGATAGCCCATCCTTTTCAGTCAGTCAGAATTTCTAACCAGGGAAATTTCCATTACAGATGAAATGAATTATCACGGTAGTCTTAGATTCTGCTTTTAGGCTGGTTATTGTCCTCTTTTGGATGAAATTACAAACAGCTCTACAATGATAGTGCAAGAAATTACTTTAATTGGAAGTTCCTTCTTGACCTACTTGTACAGAAGCACAGTATTTTCCTTTTTATTTTGTCTTAAATATTCTTTCTATTTGTACTGTCTTATTGTGCATTGTATAGTTGGAATTTAAAATGAGGGAGATTCAGAACTGTATGCTTTTTCATCAGTATGTGGACAGCTTAATTTTACCAGTTATTATGAATTTAGGTTAATATACATTTTTTTCTGAGTTTTTATATCAGTTATTTTAACTCAAAGCAATATTTACTTTCTGGAAGTTAAAAACAAAATGTGTATTCGCTGCATGTTAATTGAAAGAAATGATAAGGTATTTCACTGACTGTTGCTAAGAGACCGTTTCAAGACTGCTCATGGTAGACTTTATAGAAAACTTTCTAGGGTAGTGTCACACTGCCCTTTCTTCCTGACAGTGATCACAGCCTCTCCAGTGCTGTGCAGCAGTGTTACACTGACAGTGCATCCTTCTCAACAAGTGCTAATTGACTTGTATAAAGTGTTTGGTTATTTGTTCATCACTAATCCACTGTGTTTTATTTGCCAGTGAATAAATGGCTCCTATAGCTTTTGCTCTCTTTGAAGCAATCTTAGGGAGAAGCCTTCATATGTGTGCATGCATATATATATATATATATATATATATATATATATATGCTGAGAAGCAACACATTCATTGCATTATCTCCATGAAAGTGTCAAATCAGCCTCAAATGATTTGAGTTAAACCATTCCAGAGGCTGGAGCTGCTCAGACACCTGGCTTTAGGCACAGTAGTCAGTCAGTCAGACACCCCAGAGCAGTTCAGTGACCACAACCATGCCCTGCCACTATTCACATCCCTATATTTGTAATTATATCTCCATTCCATGGTTATTGTCTGCCCTGGTGCCTGTTCCACAAAGCAAAGACAAAGGCTGAGGCTTTTCTCATTGCCAGATCCTTCCAGGGTCCCACCAGGAAGGCGATCACTTGTTGCTGTGAGTGAACAGCTGCCACTCGCTCTCCAGGCACGTCCCCTGTGCTGGTGCCATGTGTGCTCGCCTTTCCTTGGGCTGTGCTGGCAGGAGCAGCCTTTCCCAGTGATGTCTGTGCTGCTTGTAAAGGCACTCATCCCTCCCTGCCCTACATTCCCACCCCATTCTGTTTGGCAGCAGCAGCCCTTATGCAGCCACAGCAGAATGGCTGCAGCCAGGAGGTTTTGAGGATCAGGGAGCTGAAGGAGTTCATGGTGACTTGAGAGTGGCAGAAGCACACAACCAGTGATGCAAACAGTGTGCTCTGGACTTAGGTCATCTTGAATGGTCATGAAATCACACATTTGGGAGGAGCAGAGAGCAGAAAGATAAACACGTATCTCCGCATATGTTCCTCACCCATGACTGATTTGCAAAGGTATTGGTCAATGCTTATTTTGGTAGGCAATTGACCACACATTTTCAAATATAATAAAATTATAGGTTGCTAGGGTTGGGACCTATGAACATGTATTCTAGTTTATTCACTCTAAGTATAATGACCTTTCAATGGATTGTGATGTTTGTTTTTCTACTGACTTAAAATAAACATTATCAACTATTTGAATCATAAGCCATGTTCTGTTTCAGGAAGTACAAAACACAAGTGCAGTCAGAAGTTTAGAGAGGAGCCAGCACCTTCCCAGACGGCCAAACCCCACTGGCTCCTTAGTCCCTACTGTTGTTTTCTTCTGTTTTGGGATAGCAAACAAGTCCCTATGTGTGTCACCTACAAAGGCTGCTTTTAATAACAGCAGTGATCTTATTTGCTCCGTTTGGTTGAACAATCTATCCTTTGTCCCATGTTACAGAAAGGAAGGTGAGAACATCAATTCTACTGGAGTTTCCACTCTGAGTGGAAACTTTCTTACAGCTGAGTGGCTCCAGGGTAATTAGTCCAGATGTGGATTCCATCACTTCCTTGGGAAGCCTTTTTCAAAGCCTGACAGCCCTTTTGTTGTCATTCTTCCTGATGTGCAACCAGAAGCTCCCCTGGCACAGGTTGATTCTCACCGTGCTGCTGCTCATGGCCATGTCCATCTGGTGATGGAGGGGGCTGCCCAGCAATGATGCACTGGCAGTTCCTGGCCAAGGAAGCATCAGAAGACAAGGGAACAATGGACATGGGACAAGTGGGTGGGTGACTGTGGGTGACTGTGCTGAGGCTTCTGGTTTCTGCTTTCCAAACTCTTTGTGGATTTGCAATAAGATGACAACCTGTGGTGAGGAAGAGGAGGGTCACGTTTCCCTCTGAATCAGAGTGTGCCTTAGCCAGTAGGTGACACACTGCTTTTCCATACAGTCCTTTATCACTTGTGCAGTCAGTTTTGCACCTTCATGAGAGTTATGAAAGATTCTCTTTTCCTTGATATTAGCAGGCAGCTTGGCTTTCTAGGCTTTGCATATCTGTGAGAGATAAATTTAGTTTGAACCTTTGCAAGCCAGGTGATATTAAATTCATAATCAGACTCCTTGGTGAATGCTTTAATATTTGGGTTCTTACAGAAGTGGCTGGTACTCCTTCCTTATCTACAGAGAAAAACTTTTTCCTGGGCTTGAAGTGTGGGCATATCACAGGACTCTGTTCTGAAGAGGACTGCTGGATTAGGTCCTTCTGGGAATGTAGGTTTTGATCTACATGGAGCCCAGTTGTGCTGAGGAAGAAGGAGAATGGCAGGTGCCTGATGGAATGACAGGATAGGTTTCAGGGACACAGAAGACTTTTAACACTCTTAAGTCACAGTTTCATATTTCTGTACCCCACACTCTTACCTGCATCCTGTTTTAGTGCCCAAAGCCTTTAATGGGATGCATATGTTGTTCCTTTTTAAATTATCTGATATGGGTATGTCAGTACTAAAAACGAAATAAAACTTTCAGAGGATTTGGCTTGTCTCAGAGAAATCTTGGATGTGGTTGTCATTTATGATAATTTCCCTAGCTTTTAGAAGTTTTTGGAATAATGACAATAGACACCCTTCAAGGAGCTGTCCCTTAGAGCTGGCAGGGAATATTTTTTTTTTCTGGCTTCATGCTGTGCTTTAAAAAGAAAACTGAGCTCTAAGTCATGTCTCTCAAGTAAGAAATGGAAACTCCGATCCATATCTGTTTGAATCTCAAAGACCTGGATATACCTAAAACTAGCAGCTTTGAAAGTTTTAACTTCCGGAGAAAGATTAGATTTTGGATATTGGACTGATCTGGACATCTCCCTTTCAAGTGCAGATCTTGCTATTCTACACTTCTGAGGTGTGAAAATGAGCATTGCAGAAAGAGCTCAGGCACAAATTTCTGGGGTGTAGACTCTGCCCCAGAGACCAAGTGCTTAAGAAGCCACTGTGTTACTTCACTGTTAAGCAGCAACATTTCTCTAGAGACATTTTTTTAAGAAATACTAAGCTACAGTACCTGGAAGGACAAAAAGTTGTCTATTAAACCTGAGTTCTTATATATAAATTCTGCAAGATTTAGAATGGGAAATAAAAGAGAAACTAATTTGAAAACTGTGTTATGTGTATGTGAAATATGCATGTAAAATATTTTAATGGAATAAAAAATTGGTTCCAAGTTTAAAATATTTTTATTCATGGTGGTTTATAACACTCTTTTGGAAACCTTTCATGAAAAGCAAAGGGATAGACATAAGGAAATTTCTAGGAAAAAACAAGTGGAATTGTGCCTGTATATTAAAGTTACAGTGATCTGGAGTTGTCTGTCAGTAGGGATTCTTTGTGTGTTGACATCCAGTCCTGCAAAATTTGCCTGAGTCCTTCTCACTCAGGCAAAATTTCTGTTGACATCAGTGAGAGATTTTGCTTAAATAAGGACTAAAATCTGACATTTGCACTTTCTTTAGGAGCACATTACAGTGGCAGCTGTTTGTAGATTAGTTCAAGAAGTCTTTTTCAGACTCCACACAGGAATCTGTGCAAGGAACTGTATGTTCAAAAGAGGATTTTTTTTTTTTTTCAAACAAACATACATGCTTTTCATACCCTTTCTAAATAACAGCTGAGCTGACAGGCTGAAAGACTCATCATTGTGCACATGGTACTTTATGTGCAACCCAACTTTCCTGCAAGATAACTGCATAGTTTAAATTAAATCCCAATATCCGCATTGCCCAACAAATGGAAGCTATATGGTACTTCTGGCACTTAGATTTCTTGATGAACTATCTTTCTTTTCCAATTTTTATTTATTTTAAGGTGCACATGAATTCATTTCAGATGATGTAAGTACAAATAAGGGTTTAAAGAATAATTTCACGGACATGGCAAGAGAACCTTTGTTCTTTAAAATTCCAGTTTTGTGTGTCATTTTTATAACAGATAACACAGCTGAATTCCTTGTTACTCTCAAGTACTCTCATGGTTGTTAATTTCCAGGCAAAATTTGTCTACCACCCTTTTTTATATTTAATATGAAGAGACTAACATACTGCCCCTTGTTTCTTTTGCTTTTGTCGTTTGGGTTTTTTTTAAGCTGTTTACATGTGTGAAGTAGAAAGGCATCATCCTGAAGTCTTCCAGAATCAGAACAAGGAGAGCTTCCCTTCCCTGGAGAATCCCTTACCTGCTGTGGTTGGAGTGACCTATGAGCTCTGTGCTGGCATTGTGGACAAGCCAGGCCTTTCTTTAGAAGAAATCGCTTGTGAGGAAATCTTGGAAGAGTGTGGCTATCGTGTTTCCACTGCAGACCTCAGGAGGATCACTTCTTACAGGTAAATAGCAGTGAGCTACAACACTTTGCATTTCGTTGTTTCACAGATTGCTGAAGTGGCCTGGTTGTTCCCTCTTGCCTTGTTTCAGCAGTGTGTTGGAGGAACGTGGGCATCTGAAGGTACAAGAAAGGTGTAATTTTTAGCAAGTGAGAGGAGTATTTACAGAAATGTAAGGAATTAGAAATATGTAATCAATATGATAATTATGGGATTGAATTCCCAGGAAGAGTCATACTATTGTGACATATTCCAAAGACTATTAGAACAGAGAAAAGTTACATTGGGCTCTTTAGAGCAGTTTGTAACAGCACTAGAAAACAGCCCATCTTTACTAAACTGAGTGTTTTGCATCACTGATTCTTCTGATTCTTATCATTCAGATTAACAATAGAAACTGCCCAGGATGCTCTGTGATTAACCTTTAACATGATTTTGCAGAAGCAAGAGAACTTGTGGCATTAGATCTCTTCATAATATTTGGTCTGTAATTAAAGGTTCTTTAAACTGGACAATAATGAATGTTATATACAAAGATTTTTCTGATTTGACTGTGAAAATTGTTACATTGTATTTTTGCAGGGTTTCAAATAGTTTTTGAGATAGTTTTTAACATGTTTGAAAACATTTATTAGGAGTAAAGGGAAAAATTAATATGTAAGTGGAAAAATACAAAATGTGATTTGTTGGTGAAAAGAAACCATCAAGAGAAACTTTGCATACAGCTTTAATCCTATTATATCTCATTCCCAGCTTTTAGTATTGTTATCCAAAATGTATGTATGTTTGTATTTTACAGAGAAAGCAGCAGGTTTTTTACTTTCTTTATTTTACTTGACATCTCCATTGAACTAGGCACTGTCATTGGTTTTTAATTTGGGAATTGAATACAAATCCACAGCTGTCAATCCTGGCAAATGTTATTTCCTGCTGGATTAACAGGCAGTGCTTCTGTTGAGGGGAGGGGGTGAATCACAGGAGCTGTCTTTTACAACTCATTGAAACCAGATTAAGGGTTTGTTCTACTGAAAGAAAAAGTGTCTTCCAGATTTATGAGCAAGAGCTGTCTATAGAATTTCATAGGTTGGGTGACACTGACAGGCTGCTGCATGCAGATACATACATATGTATATGTATGGATGTATGTCCATACAAATGCAAAAGAGGAAAAGTAGAATACAATTCCAGTAGAAGGCTGTAGATTTAGTGTAGAAGTTTGACTCAGTATTAATGGTTTATATCTGCCTAAAATTCTCTATGTTTTGGTGTTGATAAATGTCTTTGTATGTTACAGGTGGTTGTTCATTCAGTTGCTTTTTAATTTTTTTAATTACACTGACTTGCGAAGAGTTTATACAATTGGGGTTTTCTTTGTTGAGACCCTTGCAAAGAGCTCATAATCCTCCATTGTCCATGTGGACACAGCTTTCTGCCCATGGAGATCCATGCTGAAGTCAGAAGGGCCTGTATAATTTTTACATTTTTAAATTAATATGAAAGGTTGAAGCCTGAAAGATGATATTTTACAGGTTTTTTTGTTTGATGTCCCTTGATCTATTGTTAGGATTTTATTTTAAATGTTTTGGTATTCCTGTTAGGAGTGTCCTGTTTTCCTCCAGCCAAGGATTGGCATATCTTTCTGATCCTTGACGATTTGATGCAAAGACAGGAAGTAATCAGTTCATTTATGGTCTCTTGTAAGACACAGCATTTTTCTGTAATGCCTATACTACATATAAGAATTCCTGGGCTTTTTCCAAGTGTAGCAGGTTTTTCCAAGTGGTTTATGCTGCTGGTTCATGCTGAGACTGTCAATACAAAGCACAGGCGTAAAGCATTGCATTAATGCATATGCATGCCATTACAATTATAATGCATCCTACACTTGTACTCTTACCTCCCATCCCAGCAATCTGTGCAATAGTAGTTATGCATCGTTTATTGATCCAGTGCCTCAGATCAGAGTTTTGGGGGGCTCTCTCTAGATGGCTCCTCCTCAAAGATCAGCCTCAGCTGGACTGGCAGCAGTTGCGATAAATGCACATCTGTACTTTCTCTCAAACCTGACCATTCCATGGCCTCTCCTGGAGGGTTTTGGCATTCTGTCTCAAGTATCTTATCTGTCTCTACCACAAGCAACTTTTCCCTCATGTCTTGCCTAAATTTCCCTTTGTTTACTTCAAGACTGACACTTACTACTCTGTCCCCAGTGGACATGAAGTATTTCTGCACCTTCCATCTATTTGTTAAAACATGTTCCCTTTATTTTATTTTTGCCTGTGCAAAACTATTTTAGTTGATTTAGTCTTTCTCTTCAGATCATGTTTTCTAGATATCTGATCATTCCTTCTGCTGTCCTCTGCCTTCTCTCCATCTGGTCTGCATATTTCTTAAGCATTTAGTGTCCAAAGTGAAGCACAGTACTTTAGTGGGGGCTTTCCTAGACAGAGTGGAAGCATTATCTCCCCTAATCTCACAGATCATTCTTTATACACTGAAGCTTGTTGTTTGCCTTTTTGGCAGAGGCATTACGTTATTGATATAATTTATCTTCCACAATGCCTCTCCTATCTCAAAACTAGGAGCTGAACCTGATGATACTTGTGGGTCCCTTCCAAGTCAGAATATTCCATGATTCTGCGTTGTCATTCACCTCCTGTCTGTATTCTGTGCTATCACAGCCTTTGATCTTTGAAAGCAGGGAGTTGTATTCTTAATGACACCCCTTTCTGGAATCATGGTCATGAGAAGGAAATTGCATACCTGGAATAAAAGCAAGAGTTGAGTTAGACCTGACAGAAGGGCATGAAAAGCCAAAGACACATCAAATGTAAAGGGAGAAATGGTTTTGGCTAGGGAGGTCAACACAGTTCTATGCCTAATGGATTAAGAAAGATGGAGCATGGACAATCCATAGGGAGAAATTAGACTGTGGAGAAAAATTGAAAATGAAAACCTTGAGTGGAAAAAGAGGAAGAAGAGATGAAGGAACAATGCAGAGAAAAATCATATGCTGAGAACTAAATGGACCTGGGGAAAGTACATTCATTGTGGTGAAGAATTCTCTGTAAGAAAATGAGGAAAGTACTTAGACTGTATTCAACTTTGCTCTGTTATCAAGCACTGGGAACTGTATAGGTTGGAGGTAATCTGAAGATAGCAGGGATTTTCCTAAATTATTATCAGGGCCTGTAGCAGTGGTTTTGGGGGATTTTTATTTTTTTTTATTGCTTCTCAGCTAACCTGGAAAGTGTGACCCTAGTGCTGCCACAGGTACTTCATACACATACAGGTAACCCACTAGGCCCCCTTATTAAGCTCTGTCAAAGCTCCAGTGTCTTAATACTCAGCACATAGGAGTCAGAATTAAGCAGATCTCAGGCATCAATTACCTTGAATGATCCACAGAGGAGCTGGGGAGTCAATGAGGAATCAGGAAAGAAGCCAGGAGTTGGGGAATTTACACCATTTGAGTAAGAGTCTTGAACAAATTGTTCCAGCAGCAGGAGGACAGTATGGTGTGGGTGAGTGAAGGAGGCTGGGTTGGGGGCAGATAATGAGAAACACAAACATATTTAGAGGAACTTGACTGGAGGAGGACAGAGGAATCACACTTCAAAAATCAGAAATATCTGTTCCTATTATAGAAAAATGCCAGACAGGAGGTGAACTGAAATGCAGATGGTTCATGTTGCTGTGTAGACAGAGGAGGAATCATTCTGAAAGGAATCTGTATTGTTTGCAGCCTGTGTGGTGAGTTTAGTATCATTGCTGCACAAATTTCTGCTTTTGTGCTTGGCATTCAGTAACTTCATTTTGGTATTGCAGAAAGGATGGTTTAAATTATGGCAGCAGCTAATTCACTTTTGGAGACTTTCAGGAAGTTTTGGCGGCTGCTGGTGTCTTGAGTTCTTGTCAGTTGTATGTTTGACACCAGTCAAAAATCACATAGGTGGTTGATGTGAAGGGTGTAAAGGAATTACCTGGTTCAATAATAAAATAACAAAATTAAGGTAATCTTGTGGTCATATAATTATAAACTGAGGAATAATGAAGGTTGAAGGTTGCAGTTAAATTTAATTTTTAAAAGCTCTAAAAGAAATCTGTGAGCTTCCCTTAATGTTTAGGGTTTTTTTCACAAATACAGAAGTCTGTAAGCGAACGTCTTACCATGGACTTACTCATAAACCACATATAACAATTTTTCTATCTGTCATGGTATCCCAGCAGTTTTCTGATTGAACCCCATGTGCTGAAATTCAGCTGTGAGTCAGTTTCCTAGGTTGAAGTACTTCCAGCTATCTGCCTTGAGATTTGTTTCCTTACAAAACAGGGGCAGGGAAATAAGTTGTTGTAGTTTTGTTTTGTCACCAATGTTGTTGTTGCTATTGCAAAGTATTCTGGTTCTTGAAAATGTTGGTTGTCTTGAAGAATATTTATAAAATTAATTGGACTTCAATAACACCTCAGAATATCAGGGTAGAGTTGAATCAGAGCTTCTGGTTCAACTTCCTTTTCCCTTCATTACATGTTTATTTTCTCCCAGAGGCTGTGAAAAACTCTTGGCTCTGACCTGAATACAATAGGAGCTGTAGGTTCTCAGCCCCAGTGCAAAGAAATCAGATGGATTAGTTTAAAGGACTGACTATATTAAAATAGGTACTTACTTTAATCTTCCTACATTTGATTTTTTTCCCAAAGTGTACAAGAAGAGCATTCAGAGAATTAATATTGGATGTTCCAATTACTGTGCCATGGCTTTTAGCCTCTGTGCAATGAGGTAAAAATGGTTTGTATTCACAGGTTTTTATGTAGAAGGAATAATAGCCCTGAAAATGTTGGAGTGCATTATAATTAGAAAGATCACCTGCTAGTACACCTGTTGGGTGATGGCATAATGTAATATAATTTTATGTTAATTACTTCTGTGCTTTTTTCCCTGCACCTGCCGCTTATAATGTCAGAATTGTACAAAGGTCCTAAGAAGTGACAATAGGAGCTGC